CCAGTGTTTCCTTGTTGATACTCTGTTTGGATGATCTGTCCATTGATGTAAGTGGGGTGTTAAAGTCTGCTACTGTTGTATCACTTTTGATTACTTCCTTTATGTTTGTTATTAACTGCTGTATTTGGGTGCTGCCATATTGGATGCATATTTATTTGTTCATAAATTTTATGAGAAAAAGAGTAAATGTGCAAGCAGGAGAGGGGCGGAGTGTGGGAAAGAATTTTAAGCAGGCTCCACAGTGTCTCACAATAGTGAGATCATGACCTAAGCCCAATCAAGAGTGACTTAACTCACTGAGACCTCAGGCACCCCTCAGTACATAAATAGTTGTAATTGTTATATCCTCTTGTTGGATTGTCCCCTGAGTAATAATATAGTGCTCTTCTCTGTCTTCTGCTAGTCTTTGTTTTAAAGTCTATTTGTCCAATACAAGTATTGCTACCCTTTCTATTCACATCCATTTACATGACAAATGCTTCCCCATCCCTTCACTCTCAACTTGCATGTATCTTTAGGTCTGAAATGAGTCTCTTGTATGCAGAATATAGATAGGTCTTGTTATTTTATTCATTTTTCACCCTCTGTCTTTTGATTGGAGCATTTAATCCATTTACATTCAATATAATTACTGATAGGAAGGTATCTATTATTATTTTTTTTATGGTTATTTATAGTTCTCTGTTCCTTTCTTCCCTTGCTTTCTTCTCTCATGATAACTCGGTTTTCCTTAGTGATATACTTGGATTCCTTTCTCTATTTTTTTTTTTGGCATATCACTGGTTTTTTATTTGTGGTTACCATTTGATTTGTATATAACATCTCTGTATGTAGCTGTCTACATTGAGCACATTTTAGGTGTATGGTATCATACTTTACATCCTTTTATCCTCATCCCTATGAGTTCCTTGACTTATTTTTATAAATATACTTATTTTTACTGCTTTTGTCCTTCCTACTTTCCTTACTCTAGCTCATGGTCTTTCCTTTCCACTCAATGAGTCCCTTATAACATTTCTTGTAGGACTGGTTTAGTGGTCATGAATTCCTTTAACTTTCGTTGGGAAAACTCTTTCTCTCTCCTATTCCTTTCTTGCTGGATAGAATATTCTTGGCTGCAGATTTTTCTCTTTCCGCACTTGGAATACATCATGCCACTCCCTTTGGCTTGCCAGATTTCTACTAAAAAATCAGCTATCAGCCTTTTGATGTTTCCTTTTTATGTAACTGCTATCTTTTCTTTTGCTGCTTTTAAAATTCTCTATCACTACTTTTCCCAACTTAATTACTATGTATCTGGGTGTGGAATTCTTGGGTTGATTTTTTGGGGGGATCTCTGCCTAGTAGATCTGGATTTCTGTTTCTTTCTCCAGATTTGGGAGGTTTACAGCTATTATTTCTTGAAATTTTCTGTCTCCTTTTCTTTCTCTTCTCCTTCTGTGATCCATATAAAGCAAATATTATTACATTTGATGGTGTTGTTGAGTTCTCTAAATCTAGTTCCATGTTTGAAAAAAAATACACACACACACACACACACACACACACACACACACACACACTCATCTGCTCAGCTTGGTTACTTTCTATTACTCTGTCCTTCAGGTCACTGATCCAATCCTGCTTCATCTAGTCTACTATTTATTACATCTTGCATATTTTTAAATTAGTTTAGTGTATTCCTTATCCATAATAGGTTCTTTTTTTTTTTTTACCTCATTAAGTGTCCCACTAATGTTCTCTACTCTTTTCTCAAGTCTAATGAGTATCTTTATCATCATTACTTTAAATTCTCTATGAGACGTATGACTTATCTCCATTTTGCTTTGGTCTCTTGCTGTAATTTTTTTCTTATTCTTTTATTTGGGACATGTTCCTGTCTCCTCATTTTGTATAATTTTATGTGTAGGTTTTTGTGTGTGAAGGGAGACAGCCACATCTGCACTTGCAAGTAATGTCCGTATGAAGAAGAGGGTCTCAGTGTCCTGCGTATAGTGTCTGCTGTTCACCAGAACCTGGTGCAAGGTCTTCTATGTGTGATGTGTGAACCCTGCTGTTGTGGCTGAGCTGCTCTTTCCTTCAGCCCAGTCATCTGCAATAGCTTTCTTTGCTTGTTGTGGGCAGTGTTTACTCCCTTGTAGTGTCAGTGGACCAGTCTGGGAATGCCTTGGACCTGAGTGGAGTCAGACCAGGCATTTGCCAAAGACATTAGCACCAAACTGCAGGACACTTTCCCTGGTTGTCCTCTGAGAAGATTTCATTGGCGGGTGGGGCATGCAGTCAGACTAGTTGTTGGCCTCTGGCCCACTGCTATGTCTCTGACTGGTGTGTGTGTTTTATCTTTCCCTCTCTCAGGGGCATGAGTCACAGTGGAATGGTGCTGACTATTGTAGGGGCCGCTTTCACGATGCCAGGGCTGCGGCACCCACAGGGAGGGTGGGGGCTAGTAAGCTTTGAATGCTGCCACTTTTCTGTAGGCAGGGCCCTGCAGCACCCAGACTGAGACACACTGTCTGAAGGGGTGGATCTGTGGAAGCTGATAATTTTAAATATTAAAATTACTAGTACCAAAAATAACTACGTTTGTGGTTTCAGTTTATTAAACACTGCATGCAAGTGTTTATCCTCCACCAAACACTATGGTGACGTGTCTCTATAAATTATCCCAAGTTATCATCTCCAACTTTCATTTATAAGGAAGCTGAAGCTTAGAAAACATAAGCAATGTATTGGTAAATCTTTGAGCTGAGATTTGAACCCAGGCTACCTGACTCTTAAATCAGTAACTTTATTGTACTATCCTGCCTCTAAAAAAAAATGATTATCTCTTTTTAACAACAGAAATTGTCTTGTGCTAATCTCTTACAAACTAATTTCTTCTTAAAAACAAAAAGTCACTGAGACTAAACCTCATATTGGATACCAAAACGAGCCCATTAGTTTCTCTGACTCAAGACTACAGAGAGAATCTGTAACTTCTGTCTACTTTTTCCCCCTATGTGTGACATTATTCTGGAGCCAATGAATATGCAAGTGAGGATAATTTCTTACACATCTATGTGAACAAGTGAGGCATGCTTCACAGAAGAATGCCTGGTGGGGTTCTTTTCCCTGAGAACCACATCCCCATCACACAGTGAACAAAAAGAACAGCCCTTTTTGAGATATGACTGAGACAGAAGACAGTGTTAAGATTTTTTTCTTTTTTGTTTCATTTTAATGCCTTAAATATTTTCATATATTTTAATGCCTTAAAATATTTAATGACTTTCAAATATTTTAATGCCTTAAAAATTTATTTTCAATAAATCACACATGAAATTCAATTAGGGATTGAAAACAGGTAGTGAAAGAGAAGAGACCTATAAAAGAGCAAATAACAACCTTCTCAGCAAGCCACCAAGAACTTTCAGGGCCTTCTGGTTATTAGGGACAAAGGAGAACCAGATGGGCATGACAAACTAGATGAGGTCAAGGCATTAACATTAGGAATAGATACTGGAGTGTGGGAAAATATTAAGTATAATATTTTCTGTGTTTAGCTGCTTAAAATTAAGTGACAACTTGTTTCTTTTTATTAAAGAATCTAAAGTCAATGCAATCTGTATACAAATAATGAACTGTAATCAAAATAATTAAAACAATCATATGTGCATGACACTTTACATGTTGTATTTCATTTAATCTAAAAAGCAGACATAACAGGTAGGCTGTACTTTAATGCTTGTTTTATATTTGGAGAAACTGAGTCTTATAAGAGGTTAAGTAACTTGCTCAAGGACACAGCTAATACATGACAAAACTGGAACTTGAAGCCAGGAGGTTTGATTTCACAGACTGAATACTTACCCTCTATATTAAGTAGTCAACAAGTAATGTTATTTTCATTTCTCTTTTCCTATTAAGGCTCTGATATAATTACAGACCATTTTAAGCATTGTCATAGCAATATTCTGGCTGGTTTCTTAATAAGAAAAATAATAACTCTTGAGAATGAAATGCTACATCTATATCAGTTTAATCAACCATTACATGTTATGGGCCTCTGTGCCTAATGTTATATGTCAAAGTATGATCTCACAGAAAGTATGAATGAATTCAATTCCAAGTTGGAAAAAACCTAAAAGGTTTTCTGAGCATGGGGGGTGCTTCCTGCTGGCCATGAAGCCAGGAAGGAAAACTGGCAGGAGTGATACAAGTATAAGCATTGTGGTTTCAGCAATGGAAGAAAATGTTTCCTCAATGTTGCATAAGCAACTGATAGAGAGCATAGGTCCTAACTATGACAACATAGATGCACCTTAAGGACATTAAGGACCTAAGTGAAATAAGCCAAAAAGTCAAATACTTCATGATTCTACTCTCTTGAGGCATCTAAAATAATCAAACTCCTACAGGCAGAGAGTAGAATGGTGTTTTCCAGGGGAGGGGGAAACGGGGAGTTGCTATTCAGTGGGTATAAAGTTTCAGTCATGCAAGATGAGTCAGTTCTAGAGATGTGCTACGCAGCACTGTGCCTATGGTTAACAGTACTTTACTGTGTGCTTAAAATTTGTCAAGAGAGTACATCTCATATTAAGCAGTCTTCCAATAACAAAAAAATGGCTTTTATGAACCCAGCATAACTTTGATAGGACAAAAATATCACAAAGAAGGAAAACAATAGACCAATATTATATATGAAAACAAACAAAATGAAAAAGTGAACATAGGGCTTGAGTAATTGCTAAACAGATATCATAAACCAAACCATATGTGTCACTATTCCCAGTAGTAACATCGAATTCAATTTGAGAGGTAAGAAGTACAAACAAATTACACATCCCTGCATATTATTTAGTGGTGGTGTCCTTGACAAATCCATACCACTGACAGCTGCCCCAGTTAACTACACACATAGGACTTCTTTTGTTTTTTAATCAGAATGCTGTCATGTGAGGCATATGAAAAATTATAAAGCCTTTATATTCCTTCATTTCAAAAACAAATGAAATACTTACATTATTAACAGAAGAGCATACTGGTTTCGGTCCGTAAAATCTTTGGGAAAGGACAACTGTAAAGGAAGTTCTTTTAAAGAAAGAGCAAAATATTAAAGATGGAGAGTCATTTACATGTAAAACTATGATTCATAGAAAATTGTTGTTAAATAACATAGCATGCACAAAACTTTACCATAGTCATCAATATGAAGCATTTTAATTTCTGACTTCACTATCTTCTTCTTCAGGATAGCTTCCTTCAGCATAGAATTGCTTTCCAATATAAAATACTCTATAAATCAAAAAAAGTTAATTTAAATAACTAACTACTATGTATTGATCAGGAGTAAGTGCAGCACAACAAATAATTATCCAGTGATTGTCATTTGCTAAGCACTGTGTGAGGCACTGATTAAACTCTTTAAAATTCTTCTCCTTGTAGAGTTCTACAAGTTTTCTAACTGACCTTTCTTATTTCAGTGAAATTTTGTCCACATGCCCTATTCTTGGAATTAACATTTACATCTTCAAAATGCAAATCTGATCATGGTCCTACTCTGCTTAAGAATATTTAAAAGAATTCAAAGTTATCTAGGACCCAATGAGATGATGTTTACTATGCCCAGGCGTAGTAAATAAAATATAATATATAAATAAATATAGTAAATAAAATATAAAATTATTGGAAATATCAGGAAAATATTACCCATGATGAGTAAAAAATCCAGTCAATAAAAATAACCTAGAAATAATACAAATGATATAATGGATTGAAAATAACATTAAAATAGAGAATATAATTCTATCGCTTGTGTTTATTAAGGTGAAAAAAAATAGGCATGAGGATCTTAAGGGGATATATGAATAAAATTTAAAAATAAGACACAAATTAGAATTCTAAAGATTAAAAACAGTAAAATCTGATATTCATAAAAACTATAAGATCTAAAATGAAAAAAATAGTAGGTGGGATTAGTAGCATAGTAGATACTGTAGAAGAAACAATTAGTGAATGAGACTATGGCAAATAGACAATGTAAAAAATAAAAAATCAAAAAACAAGTTGACAAACCATGAAAAGAACATCAGCAACTTGTTGGAATTTGAACATCAGCAACTTGTTGGAATTTTTATTGATACATTAAATCTATAAATTTATTGGAGAGATTTCACATAGTGAGCCCTCTAATTCATAAGTATATATGTATATCCACTGAGCCTTTAAGATCTCCCAGCAATGATTGTTTTTTTTCATTTTAGGGGACTTTCACATTTTTATTAGATTTATTATTGGATATTGTCAGATTTCTTGTTACTTTAAATGTTTTGAACTATTTTCAAATTTTGCATTGCATTGTATTTCATAAAACAGTTGATTTTTGTGTATTATAACTGTAACCATGAAAAATTCACTCATTGCTAAAAGTTTTGTGAAAGTGTCTCAATTCCATATTTTTGTTTGGTTTGTTTACAGGTATATCTTCAGCAAAGAAAGATAGTTTTCTACTTACATTTCTTTTCTTCCCTCATTTCATTGGCTAAATAATACAGTGATGCATAGAGGGGTGAGAGTGGACATTCTTCCCCAATATTGGGGGAAAGCAATCAGTCTTTGAATATTAAGTATGATGTCAGTTGTAGGATTTTTGTAGATTCCAATTCATCTTATGAAGGAATTTCTATTCTTTCTATTATTAATTTATTGTTACTGGTTTTCATATTTATCAAATTTTTTCTTCTAATCCTCAGCATTAACAGTAAAATAAGGCGAATTACATTGATTGATTATTGAATATTATAGCAATCATGGATTCTTCAGGTAAACCCAGTGTACTCATAATATTCTTTTACAAACTGGTAGATTTTACTTGCTGGTATTTAGTTAGCAAATTTTGCATCTATATTCATTAAAAAGGTCTTCCTTCCTCCCTCCCTCCCTTTCTTCCTTCCTTGTTTTTATTATTATTTGTCCTTATAATGTTTATGCTGGATTTGGAATTTGGAATGCTGGCCTTATATTTTCTGAGATTATGTGTAAGCTTGGTATAAATGTATTGAATATTGCACAGAATGCACCAATGCAGGTAACTGGAATTTTCTTTGTGGGAAGAATTTTTTTAATAGATAATGAGATATTTTTATATTGTACTTACCCTGCCTGTTTAGACCCATTTCATCTAAAATATGAAGTTTACTGCCTTAAGATTACTTATAATATTCTATTACTATCATTCTAATGTGTGTAGGATCTGTTATTAACATTATGTATTTCATTAATGAAAATGGATGATGAGAATGTACATTTTCTTTGGTGACTGTACAGAACTTTATCAATTTTATTGATCTTTAAAACAATCTTTACTTCTGTATATTTTCTCTACTGCTAGTCCATTTACTTTATCATTTATTTCCACTTTTTATTATTCCTCCCTACAATGTAATTTGCTCTTCTTTTTCTACCTACTTAAGGCAGAAGCTTAGATAATTGATTTCCTTCTTTACAAAGCAAGAATTTAGAGCCAAAAACTTCTTGTCACATTGTCAGGTGTTTTTCTGTGGCTCAAAATATTTTCTAATTAGTGTTCTAAATTATTCTTTGATTTATGTCTTACGTAGAAGTTCAGGTCTCATAACAAAACATTCTCAGCTCTTCTTCTCCATTCCTTATTTTGGCTTCACTTTTGAAAGCTATTTTCTAATATCATTATCCAGGTTAAGAATTATGTTTTCTTTTTCAGCATCATTTAATTAATTAATTAATTAACTTTAATTCCAGTACACTTAATATACAGTGTTATAGTGATTCAACATTTTTTATTTTTTTTTAATTTTTTAACGTTTTTATTTATTTTTGAGACAGA